GCAGCAAATCAAAAACCAGGCAAAATAGTCCATAGTTAATACAGACAAGGTACTTGGTTAACTTAGCTTACAATGACAGTACTGTGGGTGAGCATGATTGAGTCCAGAGTCATGGCGGACCCAATTCCCCACAGCAAAGGTGTCAAATGCAGTTCCTAAAGGGCCGCAACTCTGCATAGTTTACTTCCAAACCTGCTTTAACAGACTTACCTCTAGACTTCAAACAAACCTGAAGAACCAGAGGTGTTTAATGAGGGCTAAAGCTACACTGTGTAGAGCTGCGGCCCTCAAGGAACTGGATTTGACACTTGTAGTTTACAGAATCAACTCTTGAAGAAGCGGCTTCCAGGTGCTCATGAACATTAAAACAGAAGGCTTGCAGATTAGATCTGGGAAGGTACAAGGGCCAGGCTTGTGAAGCAGCAGCAAACTGTAATGGTGGTCATAACAATGGTCATAATAATCTGGGACATAAATTCATGATAAACTGTGAAATAATGGATGACCAGGGCCATGGGACATTAAAGCAATGGTAGACTGTGAAGTAATGGAGGACCTAGGACATGGTGGAGCAGTAAACCAGGGGTGTGTCTGTAGCATCATAGACAATTTTGCTCACTGGCCTCTGTCCCTCATAACCTCCTAACCATCTCGATTTCTACTAACTGGCTTTATTGATCTGACTCCTCTCCACCAATGAGCTGTTGTGTAGTGTGAAGCCGGATGCAGATGAGCAATAAAAAAATAAATAACACAAAGAAAAAAAGGCAACACTGTAGAACAATGGTCCAACCCTGTAATGCAGGCAGAGCTGTAGGTTTTTCTGACATACCCCTCAATAGAGCTTCCTGGTGAAGGCAAACGAGGCCACATGCTCAGTTCCACTGATTAGTAAAGTTGATGGAAGCTGTGTTTGCCAAAGCATTTCTGAAACAGGCTGGTGTGACCCAGAAAAAAAATTACCCAAGAGCAATTTATTTACATGTGTGGTAAAAACAGGCTAGGTTGAACAATAGCATCCACAGGTCATGGCGAAAGGTCAGATTATAGCAAAATAGTCAGACTAATTGTAAGGGCCAGATGGAATCTGCTGATATTTTTTGTCATTTTTTTGTCATTTCTGCTCAGAATTTTGTTTAAAATATGTGGATTTATGCAGAATAATTTTGGGAGTATCATAAATAAAACCTTAATATATGAAATAAAAAGTAATACCTTTTTAACTTTAATGTTTGCAATGCAAATCCAATTAGATCCACTTTTTTTGATAAACAAAGCAAGTCTCTCATATAATATATCCACTAAAAGACTATATTGTGCATAAATCATATACATATTTTCATATTAATAAATAATATTACAAAAATACATTTAAAAACTAAAAGTTTACAATTTAAGTTTACACATATTCACACAAGTAAATAAAAAGAATTTGTGTGGGCCTACAATATGTACATGTTTGTGAGTTATTGGTACCCAATGTAAAAGACATTTGGAAATGGAGTCCAGAAGAAACCACAAGTATTAAATTCCTTACAAATACAAGTTTGATTAGTTTCAACTTGGCCCTTTTCAAAATGTAAATCAAATAATGAATGAATAAACATATGTTTTAGATAAATATATAAAGAAAGAAAGAAAGAAAGAAAGAAAGAAAGAAAGAAAGAAAGAAAGAAAGAAAAAAGAAAGAAAGAAAGAAAAAGAAAGCCCTATTCATGAATTATCTTTAAAAATATCTAAGAGTGAGGAAGCTGGCTCTAATATTTTAAGAGTTAAGACGCATTTAACTGATATTTTAAACCAGCGATAAAATAAAGCATAGATCAGAGGATTTAGACAGGAGTTAATGTACAAAGACCAAATCAGAATTTTCATCGTGGAAGATATTACTGTGGTCCCTATAACAGACAATATATAGTAGGGAATATAGCAAAGTAGATAAACTGTCACAACAATTCCTAATGTGAGAGCAGCTTTGCGCTCAGATTTCCGCTTCACTGAACCCTCCACTGCACATTTACCACCCTTTATAATAGCATTGATAACTTTTACTTGCTGATAAGCAACATAAAATATTCTCAAATACAAAGTTATAATCAGAGTACAGGGTACTAGGAAGGAAAGGAAGAGGTCAGTAAAAGTCCATGAAAAACTTACAATCAAAGTGCATTGTCCATGGCACATGTTTGTTTTTTGCAAAATGTCAAAATGTCTGCTACTAACTAGAAAAGCAATATTGTTAGTCAAGCAGACAAACCAGCAGACAAAGATGCTAATTAAAGTTCTAGTCATTGTTATTTTCTGTGGGTACAATAAAGGGTGACAAATAGCCACATAACGATCAACAGCAATTAAAATTAAATTACTAAGAGATGCTGAGAGGAGAAGTCCCATGATAATCATATACAGGTCACACAAAATGTCTCCAAAATACCAACATGTCTCAATCAACTTGACGGCATCAACAGGCATCACTATAAGTCCAAGAAGCAGATCATTTACTGCCAGAGAGAGAATAATCATGTTGGTTGGAGTGTGAAGCTTCTTGAAGTGAGAGATGGAGATGATCACCAGCAGGTTCAGAAACACAGTCCATGCTGACAGCAATGAAAAGAACACATACATGATATTGTATTCATGTTTGGAGCGATTTTCCTTCACACACGATGAGTTGATGTCAGGAAAGCAGTATTGAGTCTCCTGATCCTCTGTCTCGTAGGCCATGAGTGAGTCTCCTCCTGTTAGGAGTTTGTTCTGCTCTCCTTTCTGTCCTTTCATTTATACAGTGTCTGGATCAGACTGACCAACCCATCTACCGCCCACTCTGATGATGCATAATAAATCATTTTCATTTTCATAATAAATTTAAAAATGGTAGACAAATTCCAGAGAAAATAAGCCAGAAATGAAAACAATGGACTGAAAATTAGCTTTGATGTGATGAGAGGTTGCGTTAATCGAATATTTTCCGTCTGATTTTTTCAGCTGTGACGGAAAAATTTGAAGGTGATTCATCATTTTAACGGATTATGCTGAGGGTGATCTATTGTAATTTGTAGCTGTAATTGCCACTCCTGTCCAGCTGATGGCGATTGCCCTTGTTTTGTCTCCTCTTTGTCACCGCTGCGCTGCGTACAGTTGCAAAAATCTCACCGCAGCTGAGTGTGAGAGTTTTCTTTAAACGGCCAAATAGTTACGAAATTAATAATAAAGGTGAAAAAAAGAGGAAGTGATGCAGTGGACGATGAAGAACAAACAGACAAAAATCCTTAGTCAACGATAACTGTTGTTACGGGCCAACCAAGCGGCAACAAGGAGGTCAGGTACTTTGGAGTGCGTTGTGAGCTGAGCACTACTGAACGCAGAGGGGTGAACCCGCTCCCCTGGTTCTGAAGGAGCTTGCTGCAGTATGTTTTCCCGATGAAACGAGTGATTGCAAGACCGGGAAATCCCACATTCAGAAAATCCACCAAACTTCTGATCACTGCCTGAGGAGAAATGTTTCTTAACTACAAAACTTGCTTTCCTAGGCAGCTTCGGTGGTTGGGCTGGAGGTTAGCCTCCAACTCAGCAGCCAGATCAACTAAATGGGTTATATGTGCTCAGACATGATAAAATGTTCTAGAATGCCATCTCAGTCTCAAACTTGAACATCATCAAAAATCTATGGATTGATTTAAAAAGGGACGTTCATGCTTGGCACTTATCAAACCTGACTGAACAGGAGAAATTTTGCAAGGAAGAATGACCCAAAATACCTTCAGCTAGAATTCAGGGACTTATCTTGACTATAAGAACTGCCTACAGGCTGTTGTTTCAACAAAAAAAGGTGACTCTACAAAAAGATTGATGTCATTATTCTGTTGGGGAGCCCAAGTTTTTGCACCTGTCTGTTTTTGTTATGACTTGATTTGCATTGCATTTGTTGATTAAATAAATGTTTCAGAACTGAAATGTTGTTTTTTCCTAGTGTATAAAATATATCCAAATGGATTTGAAAGGCCAACAGGCTATGGCTTGCAATTATGAACATTATCTGGGGTGCCTAAACTTTTGCATGCACACACTCACAAAATCTCTCTCTCTCTCTCTCTCTCTCTCTCTCTCATCCATCGCCGAGTCTTTCTTTACTTTGAGCATATAGTGCAAGCATTATTTCAGGCCTTGCCTTTCCATGTTTTTGATCCTTGTTTGTCTCATTTAGGTTGTTTTGCCACCTACTGAAATCAGCAAATGGATTTAAACAATAATTAAATGCACCAAAGAAAGTGCATGTATTCTATCAGTGCTGCACAATTTGCTTTTATTTTTTTACTGGACACTCATAGCTTGTTAATCAGCATGAATTAGTGTCTATGTTTTTTGAACATTTTATAAAGTCAACCTATAAAGTCAATGTGCTGTAATTTATGGTAACACTTTATTTTGATGGTCCATTTGAGTATTAATAGACTGTCTGCTTAATACTGCCATCAACAGACGAATGATTTTAATATTTCTGTCAACAAGAACAAGTCAACTTACATTAACTCTAAGCAAACAGTCTACTAAAAATCTTCTGAGAATCAGTTGGCATGTAAATGCAATGCAACCTAAATTCAACAAACGTAAAATCAAAATAAACTGTGATCTAATTTATTATTTATTCTGAATAAATTATAATTTATTCCACTTAAAGCAATGCACATGTACAGAGATGCAGGGCCTGCTTTGGATGATCTTGGTATTTTTTGCATAATTGCAAATCCTGATCCTTTGCAGAATGATTTTATTCATTAAGAATCTAATTATGCTTAATGTTAAATTTACTTAAATGTGTTAAATTTATTTAAATGGAATAAACAATGTATATTCATTTTAAACTGTTTGAGGCCTATGTTGCAGTAAAGACTGAAAGATCAGAGTTAGCCATAAATGTAAACCCACAAAGAATCTCTCATTAGAAAAGTGATCAAAAGTGTACATATGCTTGAGCACCAGGTGTAAATGAGGAAACAGGGTTTAGTCATGGTTAGTGCTTGTTTATTTATTCATTATCCTATTCAATTACGTAACAACATATTTAGTAACTTTAATTAAAAGACAAAATACCCAAAATGCCTTACATGTTGTGCCTCAATTTCTGATGCACTGCTAAACAATAATATAACAGTTATACAAATACATGGCCAGTGTTTTCACATCCAGGATCCTCAATTACTTAAAACTCCTTTCCTTTAGATAATAAATAAATAAATAATAATAAATAATTAGCCTGTGAAAATATCCAAGAGCGAGGATGCTGGCTGCAATATTTTTAAAGTTAAGATGTGTTTAACTGATGTTTTAAACCAGCGGTAAAATAAGGCATAAATAAGAGGATTCAGACCAGAGTTAACATACAAAGTCCACAACAAATATGTTATTGTTTTAGAATAAACCCCTGTTAAAGAAATTAAATAATATGGAATATAGCAAAGCAGATAGACAGTCACAACAATCCCTAATGTGAGAGCAGCTTTATGCTCAGATTTCCTCTTGACTGAACCTTCCTTTACACATTTACCACCCTTCATCAGAGAGTTTATAACCTTCACTTGCTTGATAGCAACACAAAATATCCTCAAATATACTGTGATCATCACAACACAAGGCAACAGAAAAGAGTAGATCTCATCAATAATGACATAAGTAAAACTAAAATGTAAGATGCACTCTCCATAACACACACGTTTTCTGCTTGATGTGTCCAAATATGTGTTGTTGACTACAAAAACAGTGCAGTATGTTAAGGAAAATGACCAGCAAAGGCAGATACTTACAAAAACATTAGTCATGGTTATTTTCTGTGGGTACAGTAGAGAATGACATACAGCCACATAACGATCAACAGCAATTAAAACTAAATTACTAAGAGAAGCTGAGCTAAGCAGTGCCATAACAATCAAAAACAGTCCACAAAATAGTTCTCCAAAGTACCAACAGGTGTCAACCAGTCTGAAGGCCTCTATAGGCATGGCAAGTCCAATAAGCAGATCATTTACAGCCAGAGAGAGAATAATCATGTTGGTTGGAGTGTGAAGCTTCTTGAAGTGAGAGATGGAGATGATCACCAGCAGGTTCAGAAACACAGTCCATGCTGACAGCAATGACACAAACAAATATATTATATATCCATGACTTGAGCGTCTTTCCTTAACACACGATGAGTTGATGTTAGGAAAGCAGTATTGAGTCTCCTGATCCTCTGTCTCATAGGCCATGAGTGAATCTCCTCCTGTTAGGAGTTTGTTCTGCTCTCCTTTCTGTCCATTCATTTATAGTGTCTGGATCAGACTGACCAGCCCATCTACCGCCCACTCTGATGATGTATAATAGCAAAATTAATTCAAGTTTGTTGTCTTAAACGGTTAGGGGCCTGTACAGTATTACAATATCTTCAAATTATCTCTATTATAATTTTGTGCTATATGTTTCGTTTCTTCAATTAGGCAATTTAGTTAATCACTGAATCTTGGGAGAGCCTGGCCTCTTGGTGCTATGCTCTGAAAGGAAGTACTCATGTAATCAGATGAGGGTGCCTTCACTTTCAAGTTTGTTTACTCTGAGGTTTGCCCACTTACATTGTATTCTCATGTTGAGAAGAGCTTTAATATTTGGTGTGAGATGTGCTCTGCTTTCTTCAGTGTTTGTGGGTGAGGCCACCAAGTATATGAAGAGGTGCACAGCTTTATAATAAAACTAATCTGCAGTGTGATCAGAAGCAGAAAAGCAAGGCCTGATAAATATGAAGCTTCCAGCATTGGACCTTCACTATAGCAGTAACAAATTGCCATCAATTGTTATGAGGGTTATGAATGTTCATTGTGGCTTAATCCAATTCCAGTAATGTGTATGAAGGAGACAAATGTGCTCTATTTTCAGGATTACACATACTCAAAAACCTGGGGCCAGCAATCATGTATACACTGTTTAGCACATTACTATGTGATGACAATAAAAAAGCTTAATAAGAAGCATTATAATTTTTTACCATATATGAGGAAAGCACATTTGAAAACTGCAAAGGGTATACTTATATTTGTATATTTTCCTAATTACAAAAAAACAATATGTTATTGAAAAAATTGTAAAACAGACATAGTGCTGTATCTTTCTGTGTCTTCTGTCAACATGTGTAAAAAAATAAAAACAATTATAAATAATAAAAAGCTGAATATTGGAAAATATTTGCATCACAGACTTAAGACATACTTGCATAAAGCCTGACACTTTTAAATAATCCAACTCTTCCTGAAAACAAATGTTCTGGTTTAGTAATTCAAAAAAACAAAAATAAAAATCACGATGTAAAAACTTCACCTAAGCATTAATATGTATACATTAATAAGGAAGGTTGCACACATCAGAATATCTCAAACAGCAAATATTAAGAAACACGGATTTCTTATTTTGTTGCATGTTTGTCACTCTTTGAGGTTTCAGAGCATCAAACAAATTTACATATTAGCCAAAAATGACACAACATGCAGTTGTTAAATGAAGGTGTTTAATTTTTAAGGGAACACAAAACACAAAACTACATAGAACTGTGTGAAAGAGTGTTTGCCCCTACGTATAATAACTTGTTGGTTCACCCTTAGCAGCAACAACTAACCTCTAGCTTTTTGCAATGATTTGATATGATTCTGGTACAGCATTGTAAATAAATTATGGCCGACTCATCTTTGCAGAATTATTGTAATTCAGCCACACTGGAGGGTTTGAGAACACAAACTGCCTTTTTAAGGTCATGCCACAGGATCTTAATTGAATTCAAATCAGGAGTTTGACTAGGCCACTCCAAAGTCTTCATTTTTTCTGCCGTTCAGAAGTAGATTTGCTGATGTGCTTTAGATCATTGTGCTGCTGTAGAACCTAAGTTTGCTTTAGCTTGAGGTCCCTAGCACATGGTTGGACATTCACCTTCAGGATATTTTGGTACACAGCCAAATTCATGGTTCCATTAACTCACCAACACTCACCATAACAGAGGTAAGTGAGGTCTGCAGTTCTAGTTATGTTGTGGAGTCTTTTGTGACCTCTTGAATGAGTTGACTTTGCGCTTTTGGAATAATTTTGTTGGCTGGTCACTCATGGAAAGGGTTTCCACTGTTTTATGTTTTTTTCCATTTGTAGATAATGGCTCTCACTGTGGTACACTGCAGTTCCAATGTTTTAGAAATGGCTTTATAACCTTTTCCATACTGGCAGATCCAAATCATTTTCTCTCATTCGTTTGGATCTTGGCTTGATGACTAGCATTTGATGTTCATTTGGTCTAATTCACTTTATGATGCAGGTTCTTTTTAAATGATTTCTTGAATGTGAACTGGTATGGCAGTGATCAGGCCTCGGTGTTCTTAAAACAATGTAACTCAGGTTGGATTAACAAAAGTGTTTTAACAGAATGGGAAACACTTTGAAACAGGGCTATATAGTTTATGATTTTGTGTGCCCTTAATAATAAAAGCCTTCATTAAAAAACTGCATGTTGTGTTTGTGTTTTCATGGACTAATATTTAATTTAGCTTGATCTGAAACAATAAAGTGTAATATGCATGCAAAAAATGAATAAAAAAATGAAATCAGTGAGGGGGCAAACACATATGTTTATGTGTATTTATATGGAGTAGATTTGCTCCTTTTTGTTTACAGTTTGTAAAATGGGTAATTTGATGATGATGTTCCTTTGTATACAAGAGGCGATTTGCATGACATTTTTAACCAAAACCAGGAACTATAGATTTTGTGTTGGGGAATGAAAATGCAAAAATCTGAAAACCGGTTACAAAGTAATTGTTTTTTTTTTTAAACACAGCCACATAAATGACGCATGTGCATGCATGGACCATGTTTAACTGTTTCTCTGCCATCTGATTTTTTTTTTTTTGTTTTTTTTGTCAGCCACTGCCAGCCTTTTTGATTATTTTCATCTAAATTGGACTGACCTCAGAATATTTTCAGTTACGAATGTATGACCATATTATATAACAAAATAAAGAACCATCTCTCTGCTTTCACACACATGAAAACAGTTATTTGTAACTCCCTGCAAGCTAAGATTAAATAATGATTTGTTAGAATGAGATTTAAGACTTCATTATGGGAGAAAATTTATTTATCTGTAAAAATGTCCAAGAGTGAGGATGCTGGCTGCAATATTTTTAAAGTTAAGATGTGTTTGACAGATATTTTAAACCAGCGATAAAATAAAGCATAGATAAGAGGATTCAGACCACAATTAACATACAAAGTCCACAACAGATATGTCATTGTGGCAGAACAGACCCCAGTTACAGACAATATATAGTATGGAATAAAGCAAAGCAGATAGACAGTCACAACAATCCCTAATGTGAAAGCAGCTTTATTCTCAGATTTCCTCTTTACTAAACCTTCCTTCACACATTTACCACCCTTCATCAGAGAGTTTATAACCTTCACTTGCTGTTGAGCAACATAAAATATTCTCAAATATAAAATCAGAATCAGGGTACAAGGCAACAAGAAGGAAACGAAAAGGTCAGTAAATGCCCATGAAGAACTTATTATTACCAAATTGCATTTTCCATAACACATGTCTGTTCTTTCTGAACTTTGAAAATATTTGCCAGTTAAAAGAAAACCAAGGTTGTAGATTAAGGCAAAAAGCCAGCACACGCAGATACTTATTAAAGCTTTTGATCTAGTAAATTTGTGCGGGTAGATTAAAGGGTGACACACAGCCAGGTAACGGTCAACAGAAATTAAAACTATATTACTAAAGGAAGTTGAGCCAAACAGTCCCACAATAATCATAAATATATCACAGAATTTCTCTCCAAAATACCAACACGTCTCAATCAGTTTGATGGCTTCCACAGGCATCACAGTAAGTCCAGTAAACAGATCAGCCATCGCCAGAGAGAGAATAATCATGTTGGTTGGAGTGTGAAGCTTCTTGAAGTGAGAGATGGAGATGATCACCAGCAGGTTCAGAAACACAGTCCATGCTGACAGCAATGAAAAAAACACATACATGATGATATATTCCTGAATGGAGCGTTGTTCCTTGACACATGATGAGTTGATGTCAGGAAAGCAGTATTGAGTCTCCTGATCCTCTGTCTCGTAGGCCATGAGTGAGTCTTCTCCTGTTAGGAGTTTGTTCTGCTCTTCTTTCTGTCCTTTCATTTATACAGTATCTGGATCAGACTGACCGACCCATCCACCACCCACTATGATGCTGCATAATGAATAATGAATAACAATTGTCTTAATAATTTTGATCTTAGTAGGCAGAATGATTTGCACATAAGCCAAAAATGAAGACATGAGAAAAACATATTGTTTTAAAATAATGCTGTATCCAAACATTAATGTACAGACATTGAAACCATAATTTTAAAATTCAACCTGGAATGGAAAATCATTGACATAGTTAAATAGATGTTTTTAGTTGTATTAAACTGAAATATTTCAAATAATATTCAAATTATTTTTATAATAATTGTGCTATATAATTGAAATGGTATGTTTTTGAGTGAACATTATTCATAAAAATGACTTTAAAAATGATTATGGCTTGGTAACATTTTGTTTAGTCTGTAAAAAACTTGGCCTGTTATTGCCAACGTAGCTAGAGTTAAAGGTGTCACACCGGATGCGCCGTGATGGTGCGCACATGACAGTTGAAAGTATCGCACAGCAGACACAAACTTTCGCATGCTATTTAAAATAAAACTAATCAGATGTCGCTCTGTGGCGCAGCAGAAATACGAACAGTGTCCTGAGTCGTGGCTGGGCGCTGCTATGTGTACACTGATAGAAACCTATGTCTAGAATTCTAAAATGCATGGTGCTGCGTGTTGCTATATGCTTATCGGCACTTCTGGTGTGAGACCATCTTTCAGTCAAATGTGCTTACAAGCATATAGTTTTTGAAGGTTTTGACAGTTCGTAAGCACATTATACTAAACAATGTGAAAAATTTAACACAATCTAAACAAAGATTTTATATATCTTTATTAAGGGTGTCACGATCCTCCAAATCCTCGATTCGGCTACATTTTCGATTCTAAAGTCACAATTCGATTTTCGATTATGAATAATTAATTAATTAACAACGAATTAATTATTTGTAGCCTACCGTTTAAACTACCTGAATTGCATGGTCTTTGTTTTACCCATTAACAAATCATACAGTAAATGAATAAAGGCAAGATACACACATAATTACCACCTGTCAATCACTTTTTTCTGCGGGACTCGTGAATAGGCAGTGATCTGTGTCGTTATAATGGTGTCAGTAAAAAAAGGTGCACAACCAACAGGAACCAGCCAACAGTATCTGAGGTGTTCGCTGAAATGACTAAGTACTTGTGTGAAAGTAAAAGATGGAAGCAGTCTACTGACCCGCTGACTGCCTTGACCCGCTGTCTCGAGCGCATGACAATGTGTGTGCGTCTGTGTATGTGTGTGAATGAGTGTGTGTGGTCACATGATGTGCGTTTTCAGCGGTAGTGAGGAAGGAGGGCTGCTTAGAAATGCTACACGCCAGTGTGGATGTGTATCGTTGTTGTTCTAAACAGGGCCTGAGTGTGTATTTTTTGCGAGCGGATTTGCAACGGGTGCGAGGCAGAGGATCGCAATGCGCCGATCGTCTATCATCCCAACCGTAATACTTACATAGCAGAGCTTGCAAACTGTGTTTTTTTTTGTTGACAACATTCGTGTCTATAACTAACTGGAAATCCAAAATACTTTCACACTGGTGACTTCATTGAAAGAGGAGAGGATTTAATCTCTGTCGACGGGTCTCCTGAGTCTGCAGTTTAACAAGCACTTCAACAAGCATGTTTTTTTCCCGCTTGGCAAGCCAAGCTGACATGTCATGGGGGCGTGGCAGCATCGACGATTCTATTTTTTGATTCGATAATCGAAGTTGAGCATAAACTTTGATCAATTGCGATTAAAAATCAAAATCGTGACACCCTTAATCTTTATACTAAAATCCTTAACTATCTATATACATTTTAACGATGCTCATGGAGTATTAACCGTTAAACAATCAGATTAATATTCAATTAACATTTAATTAAAAAAAATTTCCATGCTTAGTGTAAATCAGTAAATTACTCAATAACCTAATACAGAACATTTTAACAACAAAACCTGGATAATTCATACACCTGCAGCATTTCCAACAACATAGAAAAACAGAATTAACTAAATAATAAAAATAAAAGAGCTGCGCTAAATATTTATTTATTTAAATTACAAATTTAGATTACAAAATGAAAAACACTTACTGAATACTTTTTTAATAATCGGCACAGGCTTTTTTCCTTTTCTGTCAAATAAAAATAACAGGCCTATCTGAACTCAAATCAATCACTCCATGGAAAATAAGTAGGTTTATTGCTCCGCTGTAATTCATGTATTACAAACCTTTACCAACATTTTTAATACAAGTCATTATTTTAAAGATTGTCTCGAGCATTTAAATTCACCTCAGCGCTTGTGTGCTTTCATTTTCTTAATCTCACTCACGATGAGTTCAGGAGAAGCAGTGCTTTGAATGAGTTAAACTGTTTTAAGTTTAGTGTTGCCTTTAGTGTAGTGTAGTGTTAAACTAGCATAGAAATATGAGTGTATCGATAAAGGCTTTGCTGAATGGCTGGAGAAATGTAAATCTTTTTTTTTAACAGAAGTTTTAAACAGATGCACGTGCTGCAGATGCAGTGATAAGAGACAAAGACAAGCCATATCTTTTTTAAATAGGCTATAGCATTATATTTATTATGTTTTAATACATCAAGCCTAGTAGTGCATCACGTAGGTTTTTATAGTTAATATAGCTATAAAATTAAAGTCTCAGTTTGGTTTGGAGTTAAAAAATTATACAAAAATCACTGAAGTAAATCATTGGATTTGTTTAATCTAGGCTATTTTATAGATGGATATTTACAGGGACAATAATAAGCTGTGATTTTCCATATGAAAAAAAAAAAGTTGGCTAGTTGGTTGTACTCAAACTATAGGCTATTTATTGTGTTTATGATGAGTGGTGCCAGAGCAAGCTAAGAGTGAGAGAAAACCCAATTACTCCGACTTGTGGCCTTTTCCAAAGCAGAGTACCCTAAAGAAAAAAAAAAAAAAAAGCTTTTTTGCAAAATTTTTTCCATGTGTGCAAAATATGTCAGGCACGTTTGGTTGCGCGTTATGTCCATTCAATCTACTGCACTGAGAGGAAAGAAAGTCCACCTCCTTATCAAAGAGCTATGCAAGATTATCCCAAAAATGCTAAGTATACTGCAGGAAATCGGCAGCATTTTGACACTTTGCTTGTGAAACTGAAGCCACCTAACACACATTTCTGTAAATAAATCCTGAACAGACACTGGGAGTACATCAATTATATGGAGAAACAAACTCGCAAAATAGAGGCATGGTGGTGCACACCAGACAATAAAGTCAGCATTCAGTAGTTGACAGCCGTTTTCTCAACTATCTGCTTCAATTTGTCTTTTCTAGGCACTAAGATTGTCTTAAACTGCTTTGTAGTATCCGATTAACCAACACACATCTTAATACCAGAAGTAAATAAGGCAAAAATCGGCTCATCTAAAAACCAACCCAGAGTGGATGTGGAAGAAAGACATGACATTTATATTAACTGTATTTACAGTAATTACAGTGTGACCTTTACTGTTATGATCTATACTACTGTTATACATGACATTGAAAACATGAAAAAATAACTGTCAGCATTTTAAAAGTAAAATAAATATTCAGTAAAGGTTTATTATGCAAATCATCCTTTTATGCAACTACTTACTTTAAAGTAAAATAAAAATAGTTAAAAACTAAATTAAAATAAAAAAATAGTTATTATACTACCAGTCATTTTTAACTCACTGCAAGCTAAGACTAAAAAATGACTTGTTAGTACAACAGTTAAGAATTCATTATGGAGACTATTTATTTATCTGTAAAAATATCCAAGAGTGAGGATGCTGGCTCCAATATTTTAAAAGTCAAGATGTGTTTAACTGATTTTTTAAACCAGCGGTAAAATAAAGCATAGATAAGAGGATTCACAACACAATTAGCATACAAAGTCCACAACAGATATGTCAGTGTACCAGACGAGACACCCATTACAGACAATAAATAGTATGGAATAAAGCAAAGCAGATAGACAGTCACAACAATCCCTAATGTGAGAGCAGCTTTGTGCTCAGATTTCCTCTTGACTGAACTTTCCCTACGACCCTTCATCAGAAAGTTTATAACCTTCACTTGCTTAATAGCAACATAAAATATCCTCAAATATACTGTGATCATCACAACACAAGGCAACAAAAAGGAATATATCAAATCAACGATGATGTAAGTAAAACTAAGATTTAATGTGCACATGCCATAACACACATCTGTTCTGTTTGAAGAGTCAAAATATTTGTTGCTGACTACAAAAACAGAGCAGTAAGCAGAGGAAAATAACCAACAGAGGCAGATAGTTACTAATGTTTTAGACATGGTTATTTTCTGGGGGTACAGTAAAGGGTGGCACACAGCCACATAACGATCAACAGCAATTAAAACTAAATTACTTAGAGATGTTGATCCAAGGAGCCCCATGATTATCATAAACAGTCCACAAAAAGTTTCTCCAAAGTACCAGCATGTCTCAATCAGTTTGATGGCCTCAAGAGGCATGATAATAAGTCCAATAAGCAGATCATTTACAGCCAGAGAGAGAATAATCATGTTGGTTGGAGTGTGAAGCTTCTTGAAGTGAGAGATGGAGATGATCACCAGCAGGTTCAGAAACACAGTCCATGCCGACAGCAGTGAAAAAAACACATACATGATATTGTATTCATGTCTGGAGCGTTTTCCCTTGACACATGATGAGTTGATGTCAGGAAAGCAGTATTGAGTCTCCTGATCTTCTGTCTCAAAGGCCATGAGTGAGTCTCCTCCTGTTAAGAGTTTGCCCTGCTCTCCTTTTATTTATACAGTGTCTGGATCATACTTATTAACATATTGACCACCCAATAAAAAATTATAATAAATTATAATAAAAATTATAATAATTATACTACATCCAAACCTAGTAGACAGTTTTTTGTGCATGTGAGCCATAACAATTGTAAAAAACAGTTGCTCTCACATGGTGCTTTAGGAAGGATATTCCCAGCATTGCAAAAAAAAAAAAATAATAAATAAAAAAAAAAAAAGACAACAAAATAAATGTAACTTGTTAATAATAGTACCTTACAGATCAGAATATTTTTGCCCACTGTGTAAACCAGACATTTGATGTGACATTTAATTAGGGCTGGGCGATATTTCGATATCGAAAATTATCACGATATAAAATTTGCCGATAAAACTATAATGACAGTTCGGTAATTGCTCAATATTATTTACGCACTATGATGATATGGGTAAAGCTAAGATTTAATGTGCACATGCCATAACACACATCTGTTGTGTTTGAAGTGTCAAGATATCTGTCGCTGTCTACAAAAAGAGTGCAGTAAGTAGAGGAAAATAACCAGCAGAGGCAGATACTTACTAATGTTTTAGTAACAGTTATTTTCTGTGGGTATAGTAAAGGGTGACAAACAGCGATATAACGATCAACAGCAATTAAAACTAAATTACTTAAAGAAATTGAACCAAGCAGTGCCATGACTATTATAAACAGTCCACACTACGTTTCTCCAAAGTACCAACAAGTCTCAGTCAGTTTGATGGCCTCTACAGGCATCACAATGAGTCCAACAAGCAGATCATTTACAGCCAGAGAGAGAATAATCATGTTGGTTGGAGTGTGAAGCTTCTTGAAGTGAGAGATGGAGATGATCACCAGCAGGTTCAGAAACACAGTCCATGCTGACAGCAATGAAAAAAACACATACGTTGTATTGTATTCATGACTGGAGTGTCTCCCCTCGACACATGATGAGTTGATGTCAGGAAAGCAGTATTGAGTCTCCTGAGTCTCATAGGCCATGAGTGAGTCTCCTCCTGTTAGGAGTTTGTTCTGCTCTCCTTTTTCCCTTTCATTTATAGTGTCTGGATCAGACTGACCGACCCATTTAAAGCCTACTCTGATGCTGCATAATGAATAATAATTTTCTTAAACTTAGTAGGCAGAATACTGTGCACATAAGCCAAAAATGAAGACATGGGACTAAACATTTTGTTTTATGATGCTGTATCCAAACATTAATGTACAGACAATCGAAATAAAATTATAAAATGAGCACTGGAAAATTGATAGTCAACCTGGAATTGAAAATTATTGACATAGTTAAATAGATATTTTAAGATATATAGAAATAAAACATTCAATAACATTCACATAATGTTTTTACATTACTAAAGAATGTTTTTTGAGTGAACATCATTTGTAAAAAAAAAAAAAAAAAAATGCTTGGAAAAAAGAAATTAGTACAAATAATAAAACCTCTAGTAAGTTGATTTAGGTCGCACTAACACTGCACAGTTCAAGTGACTCAATGCCTACTTTTTCTCCCATGTGGCACAGATCGGATATGGCCCATGTACGTGTAAGCAGGAACAAATCCCATGGATTCGGATTTACTGAAATCAGATTCATGCCTTGTTCATATGTGGAAATTTATTCTATATAAATCAGATGTGTACCCTCGTGTCTGCAGTGTAAGCAGGTAGATCGGATTTTCCCGTCAATGCGAGTCGAATGAAAAATAAAAATAAAATGAATCAGGCTTAGGCAGTTGTAATGTTATTTCAATCATTGACACAAACAGCACAATGTCCACTCCAGTCAACAAAATTAATTCCTTCTTTGCACTAAAGTGTGAAATTTTCATGAGCTTATTTTCTCATATTTGTATTGAAAAAATATTCACACAGAAACCTGGCATACTGAGTCTGATCTGTATCAAAATTAAATGAATGTAGTGTTTAGTTTAATTAATAATTAAAGCAGTGATGTTTCTCTCCTTCTAAATTGTAATCGAAAGAGGAAATGTGTCCTTTTAATCTGTTGCACTGAGAGGACCTCCTATTCAGGACATCCACTGCACCTCCTTTACAAAGAGCTGTGCAAGATTATTCCAAAATGCAAAGTACATTTCAGGAAATCAGCAGCATTTTGATACTTTACTTGTGATACTCTAGCCCCCCAAAGCAGACATTAAAACCACAGTAACTTATGGCCCGTTTCCACTCAGTGTTACAGTATGGCACAACAAAAGGGTACCAAAGGGCGGAGCAAGACGCGCAGCTGAACGCTATTGATTTACAGAGATATGTCACTTACTCGTGGACAAGAAGAAGAATGAAAACAAAGGAAGAGCCATTTTTAAATACATAGCCGAGATATTACACTGTAATAATATATACATATTGAGCCATGGTCAACCCGAGCTTAAACAAACATTGTCATCATCTTGATGAACAGCCATAAAGCCAAGAAGAGCAGAATCGATCCTGTGCCCCGTAGTTGTTTACAAAGGCGTCTAAAGCACGAGCGGTTTCACTTTCGCTCGCGACTGAGTTTATGTTTAAAATAACAAACTTTTTGAGCTAATGATAATAACGTGCACATGATTAATGAAGTGCTTCTGATATCCGATCGATTTGGAAACAAACGGGAGAGCGAAGTGCGAAAAAACAAAGGAGAAGCCCGAGAAAACAAACTAGCAAATGATTCTTTCAGCAATCTGAATCATGAACAAACTGCCATGTTTAACTATTATCATCGCCTTTTGGACAATTATGAATGCAGAATGACAGATTAACTTTCCAACAGAGGTTACATGTGCTGGGGAAGAATAAAGATACAGATGAGAGGTTTGCACTGACTGTGGGCTATATGTTGCATGTTGTTTTTGGAGCCAAATAAGGACTAAATGTATGCTGTGTGTAGTTTATCTGTAATTGGTAACATACTAGAGACTCTAATGGTCTGTATGTGTTTATAGATGCTGCATTTATTTATTTATTTATTTTATATAATTGCAGAAGTTACTGTAGGCTTTCGCCCCATCATTGATCTGCAGTTATAATTAAACCATAAGCCGCATTTCCGCTGTCGGGGCAGTACGAGCCAGGGCTTTTATAGGGCTGGGCCAATCGCCCGGGAGGTTGAGCAGTGAGGCCGAAATCATGTCGTGTTTCCACTGTCGAGGTAGTAGCTCGCAGCAAGACACGCAAACCCCCCAGAACGTCCCCAGAATCAAATGTCACACAACCCGCCCACTTCAGCGGGAATCAGGCAGATAAAGTACACCATCGCATCATCACGAAACCATTCAAATAAAGACAACCGAAACAAACAAATGACCCGTTTCTGTACAGCAGTACATTGTACGCACATACCTGTGTGTTCTTATTCATCATATTCATTTACTCACCGACCGACTGTTGGCATCGAAATCGAGTGGTCTCGCCACTAACGGAGGGAACGAGCGCAGGGAGCGCACCCATCCATAATATAAAACCCACAGAAACTCTCCGTTAATAACTCGGTAGAAAATGTATTTTATAACATCCTCATTTAGATAGACGCTGTCAAACATTCAGCCCAAATGCTCTGAAAGAACTGAAACATGATTTTTTTTCCTATAGGCTTTATGACACTTAATAGGTGATTCCCCTTTATTTAAAGATGTTGCTTATTATATCTTAAGTAAAGGAAAGTGTTAAGTATTTTAGCACATAAGAGCAAGCAATAAAATATTGCCTATATTTTATTGCGCTCAGCAGCTATGCATTAATAAAGCTCTTCATGTATTTAAAATTTCATTTAAAATTTTTACCACATCATATAAAAACAAACACTTGTTTGAGGACACAGAACACATTTTGTATTTGCAGTTTGACCCAATGCGTCTGTAAAGTGGTGCTGTGCAGTTAGATGACAAAAAAAGGTTGCCTATAGTTTTTGCTTTCACTCACCCCAAAAATGCTCTGTTTGATTAATGTTTCATGCTTTGATTAATGTCATTGTATCCAAATACTTTATAAATAATGTTTCAAACCTCCTCCGGTGTTTATTGTTTTAAAATATCTAAAATGCAAGTTTAATATGGCTTTAAAATTTGATGGCTAATATATTTACAATTTATAATAAAATTAATATGGCTTTAAAAGCTTCCAGTTTGATTTGTATATAGTACCTAAATTGTTATAGCTAGCTTTTGTTAGTTTTATATTGGTTTAATGCAATTGTATTATATCTGATAATCTCATTATTTGATTATGACCTAGTATACATTTTCTTTATAAGGGCACATTTAAAGTATCTAAAAATACTTTACATGTTGTACATCAAGTTGGTCCTGATTTTGTGCTAAGCAATTAAAGGCATATGATATATTTGTTAATTTTAATAAAAAATAAATAAATAAAACAAAGGTTTAAATCAGCCTGCAAAAATGTCTAAGAGATAATATTTTAAACATTTAGTTGTGTTGAACATTACTGTTATTATAAAATTGTCATTATATAACATAAATGTTATTTTAAACCAGAGTAAAATAAAGAATACACTACTAGTCAAAAGTTTGGGGTCTGTTTTATTAAATTTTTCCATGTTTTTTTTTTTTTATATATATAGAAAATGATTCTGTTCATCAAGGCAACATTTAATAAATGTAAAAAAAAAAACTGTAAAATTGTAAAGTATTTATTAAAATTTTAAATAACTGCTTTCTTATTGTATGTAGTTTCAAATGAAATTACTAATTCTGTCATTATAGTTTTCATTACTATTACCATTAATAATAATAATAATATTAATAACAATAATAACAAAAATAATAATTATTATTAGAGTGATTTTTGAACTCTGAAGACTGGAGTAATAAAGCTAAAAACTAACCTTTAAAAGCTCTGAAATAAATGATTAAATTAAGTAATAAACTACTTTTGAACAGTTATTTTATAGTGCAATAACATTTCACAATTTTACAATCTGTGGTGTATTTTTGATTAAATAAATGCAGCTTTGGTGAGCAGGATAAGCTTATTTTAAAACATTTAAAAATCATACTGATCCCAAAACTTTTGACCGGTAGTGTAGATGAGAGGATTTTTTTTCTTGTGCATTCTTTGCATACACAAACACTACTTTTTGTGGAGAACTGTGCAATTATGTGATCACAATTATTTTTGTGTTTTTACCTATTTTGAGCTTATTTGTTCATGTAATAAAATCTGTTTTCTATTATCTTATTCTGCCCACTTTAGAACAAATTACAAAATATTTTGGGTCTACCCTCTAATACATACACATCAGCAATAAAACCCATGTATCCTAGAACTTTTGAAATGTCATGTAGTTCTTAGGTGTTTGCTGACTGACAGTCATAGATGATCTGGTGTGTCTCTGTCATTCTTTCATTCACATAATGGTACAGCTAGGGCCTGCTTCATTTATTAGCAGGTGTGTCATCAGCAATGGTGCTTGACAAAGATCAGGATTTTTTACGGTCATGAAAGGCACATTTAAATTGTATTTGCCATATTACTTATTCAACACTGGGTGCATGACTCTGAAGTCTTTGAAAAAAAAATATTAATTAATCACAGCGTGACCTTTGTTGTTATGATCTATACTACTACTACAACATGACATCAATAACATCAACAAAACTCAACATTTTTGATGTTAAAATCAATTAAGAAAAAACAAAAAAGGTCAAACAGCACTGAGTACAGAGCACAGTCCTTCTCAGTATAAGGTTATGCCAATGAAGCTTTTATGCAATTATTTACTTTAAAAAATTATATAAAATTAAAGCTTTTCAGTTACTTGACTACCAGTTACTTGTAACTCCCTGCAAGCTAAGATTAAATAATGATTTGTTTGTATAACAGTTCTCAGACATCAAAATAGGAGAAAATTTATTTATCTGTGAAAATGTCCAAGAGTGAGGATGCTGGCTCCAATATTTTTAAAGTTAAGATGTGTTTAACTGATATTTTAAACCAGCAGTAAAATAAAGCATAAATCAAAGGATTCACAACACAATTAACATACACAGTCCACAACAGATATGTCAGTGTACCAGAAGAGACACCCATTACAGACGATAAAGAGTATGGAATAAAGCAAATCAAATAGACAGTCACAACAATCCCTAATGTGAGAGCAGCTTTGTGCTCAGATTTCCTCTTAACTGAACTTTCCCTACTACCCTTCAACAGAGAGTTTATAACCTTCACTTGCTTAAAAGCAACATAAAATATCCTCAAATATACTGTGATCATCACAACACAAGGCAACAAAAAGGAATATATCAAATCAACGATGATGTAAGTAAAACTAAGATTTAATGTGCACATGCCATAACACACATCTGTTCTGTTCGAAATTTCAAAATATTTGTTGTTGACTACAAAAACAGTGGAGTAAGTAGAGGAAAATAACCAGCAGAGGCAGATACTTAGTAATGTTTTAGTCATGGTTATTTTCTGGGGGTATATTAAAGGGTGGCACACAGCCACATAACGATCAACAGCAATTAAAACTAAATTACTAAGAGATGTAGTTCCAATCAGCCCCATGATTATCATAAACAGTCCACACAAAGTTTCTCCAAAGTACCAACATGTCTCAATCAGTTTGACGGCCTCAACAGGCATCACAATAAGTCCAACAAGCAGATCATTTACAGCCAGAGAGAGAATAATCATGTTGGTTGGAGTGTGAAGCTTCTTGAAGTGAGAGATGGAGATGATCACCAGCAGGTTCAGAAACACAGCCCACGCTGACAGCAGTGAAAAAAACATATACATGATATTGTATTCATATCTCGAGCGTTTTCCCTTGACACATGATGAGTTGATGTCAGGAAAGCAGTATTGAGTCTCCTGATCCTCTGTCTCATAGGCCATGAGTGAGTCTCCTCCTGTTAAGAGTTTGCCCTGCTCTCCTTTTATTTATACAGTGTCTGGATCATACTGATTAACATATCGACCACCCAATAAAAAATTATAATAAATTATAATAATTATATAAAAAAAAATTATAATAATTATACTACATTCAAACCAAGTAGACAAATTTTTGTGCATGTGAGCCATTACAATTGTAAAAAAAAACTGTTGCTTTCACAAAGGGATATTGCTTTAGAAAGGATATTCCCATCATTGTAAAAAAATATAAAAAATAAAAAATAAAAACAACACAATAAATGTAACTTGTTAATAGTACCTTATAGATCAGAATATTTTTGCCCACTGTGTAAAGCAGAGGTACTTATGTTTTCAGGCCAAGAGTGCCACATTTAATCCACATACTGTAACATGCAAATGCCCACAAACTAAGACTTATTTAGGCCTTTAATTCCCTTAAGGCAGTAGTTGTAGTATAAGCAAATGCAGTTTATTAAGTAGCAAAGTCTTCTTAGTTCGATAATAGCTATTCAGTTTCAAATATCACTAAACATTAACCTCCAGGGGTCAAAGACCCTTTTTAAGGCATCTCCTAATAACACCAAAAAAGAACTTAAATGACACTTTTAGTTTTAATCGTACAGATAAGATCAATCGAATCTGTTAGGTGTCTCGTTTTTGTTGTGAGCACTCACAATGATAACAAACGTGTGTCCTTTTGCAAAATAAGGATAATAAAAATAGTTAGTAAATGATGAGTGAATTATAATTTTGGGCTTATAAAATAAGTGATTAACAATTTGCATCCTTAATCTCAGTGGTAGAAAATACCACTGATTCTCACCTATGCCATCAGTACCCCTTCATGTCTTTGGAAAACTCATGTGTCAATGTTCTGGTTTTAAGCAATATAAATTTAAATGAGTTTCCATTTTTGATTCATGCTTATTTTTTAATCTGTGATCGAATTGTTTCTTCTAATAAGTTGGAAAACATTTTTTCCCGGTTTTCTATGTTATTATTTTATGTTTATTTTAAAAAGAAATAGGATTATTATTTTTTTAATTTATGATAATTGATCCCATGGGTAGGGCCAGGTGGAATCTGCGGACGTTTTTTGCTATTTCTGCTGAGAATTTTGGTAAAAATCTGCTGATTTCTGCGGAATTACTTTGGGGGTATCCAGCGGAGTATCATAACTAAAACCTTAATATATTAAATAAAAAGTAATAAATTACTGAATAAAAACTGAATAAATTCAGATTTACACATTTACTCAAGTAAATAAACAGAATTAATAATGAGCTAAAAATCTGAAGAAATCTGCGGAATTCTGCGCGCGCAGATTCCGTGTGGGCCTACCCATGGGGCACAGGTGAGGATCGTTAACACTCAAGCCACAATCCTCGCTCCACTCCCACAGTTCTTTGTCCAACCCCACACATCACAAATACATATTTTCTTTCCTATTTTTAAACCACAACAAAATGTAATGAAATACTAGCCATATATTTCATTTTTCAATGTGTACGATTACATGCGAACAGAGACCGCAGTGTGTTGCCGGCAGATCATTCAGTGTTGCCTGAAGAGGAAAAGTATCTAAGCTCATCAGCTGGTCACTGAGGTTCCTCAGGGATCTGTTCCTGGTCCCCTACTATTTTTTATTTACACCACATCACTGGCAACCATCATCCATCCACATGGTTTCTCTTATCATTGTTTTGGCAATGAAACACAGTTCTATCTTTCATTTCATCATGATGACCCCACAGTAGCTGCAAGGATTTTAAACTGTCTGGAGGATATCTCGGCTTAGATGAAAGACCATCGCCTACTGCTCAACCTGGCAAAAGCTTAACTTCTCTTCTTCCATGCTGCTTTACACATTCAACATAATTTCTCAATTCAGCTGTGATTGACAGGCGGATTGGTGCAGCAGTAGCAGTAATGTGGTCAATGTCCCGGTTCGTTGTGGTAAAGAAGGAGCTAAAGGAGTCAAAAGGCAAAGCACTTGACTTACCAGTCAATCTACCTTCCTACTCTCACCTATAGTCATGAGCTTTGGGTCATTACCGAAAAGACAAGATATTGCATACAAGCGGCCAATACTAGTTTCCTTCGCAGAGTGGCAGGGCACACCCTTATAAATAAGGTGAGGAGCTCTGACACCCAGGAGGAGCTTGGAGTAGAGCTGCTGTTCCTTCATATCAAGAGAAGTCAGCTGAGGTGGCTCAGGCATCTGTTTCAGATGCCTCCTGGACACCTACCTAGGGAGGTGTTTCAGGCATGTTCCCCCAGGAAGAGACCGAGGGGAAGACCCAGGACACACTGGAGGGACTATGACTCTCGGCTGGGCTGCGAAGGCCTCGGGATCCCCCCGGAGGAATTGGAGAAAGTGTCTGGGGAGAGGGAAGTCTGGTGTTCGGACTGCTGCACCTGCAACCCGACCCCGGAAAATCGTTTGAAAATGAATGAATGAAACGATGATGAATGATATGAAACATGATATTGTGGTCATCATTATTATTTTTATTTTTGCCTAGGCAACCACAGGGTCTCGAATGACTTGATGCACTGGGGACTTTTTCAACTCCAGGTGCAAAAAGAGCACCTTCAAAACATGAGGGGCAGCAGGCGAATGCAGGGCACATAAACAAGCACAAAGCACTTGATGCCAATAAAACATTAAGATGATTTAATGTGATAGATAAGTGGTATTTAATGTCTAGGTACTCTTCATTCATCTCAACCTGTGTAACCCCTTAGTCGGATGACAACAGAGTTAGGAGCAAATGGGTACATACAAGGAGATCCAGAAGCGTAGTTGCCAGCAATAAGGTCAATACAGGTGGCAAACAACAAAAACAAGGAAACAAGCCAAGGGTCAAGAACCATGATAATACTAGAAACAGGAAACAAGTCGTAAGGCTACCGGGAATAACCAACAAGACTCAGCAAAGTCTGTGGGAATGTGAGCTCTATAAGTGAAGTTTATTCATAAACTAATTTCGAGAGGATCACGTGCTTATGATTGACACGGCTGGCCCTGAGTCAAGCTAATGTACGAACCACCTATCAGACTACTCCTAACCATATATAAATAACCAAACACCTTACCTTTAGTCATCTTCGTCTTGAAGAATCCCCCTTTCCACCCCTTTGCCCCCTCCTTTCCGCAGCACGGCAGCCCAGTGGCTAGCACTGGGCCTCACAGAAAAATGCCTCTGGTTCGGGCATCTACCCAAACGGTCAGCATTTTCGTGTGGAGTTCATGTTCTCCCTGTGCTTGTGTGGGTTTTTCCCGGTTCCTCCGGTTTCCTCCTACACTCCCAAAAACATGACACTTAAGTAAATTGGCTAAACCAAATTAGCACCAAATTCGATTAAATTGCAACGGGAGGGAGCCCCGGGCTCGAGGCTCTCATGAGCTCGGGGCTCTCTCCCGGGACAGCATGCCAAACTAGCTTTTCAACAATCATCAGCTAAGTGTGAACACTTGAAATAGTCTATGTAATCATGTCTTAGATCAGCTACCAGCTGTGTGTAAGCAATCATCGTAGTTCCAGAAAGAAGTGTGTGTGAAGTGCATGACAAGATTTGTTGTTCATAAGGTGACAGAATTGTAGTCCAGGTGATGGTGTATGTATACCAGCAATGTGCAAGCCTGGATAGCTGGTGATCTTGACATCCTGTAAATAACATGTATAATTAATGTAGTAGAGTTCTTATTACGTGTTCATATTGTCATATTGAGTTGCATGATAATTACATTCTTGCTGTAGAAATTGTTCTTGATTTATTTTTGTACATTTAGAATTAATTTTAGAATAAAAATTAACAAATGATTTATTTGTGAAATGTTTGTGTCTGTATGCACATTTCATGCATAAATTTGTTCACGCATGTTAAAAGACCCACTGTGTTTTTATCATAGGTGAATTAAACAGTTCATGCAAATAAACAAACAAATGAAGATCTCACAAAAGTATGCTTAAACTAAATACATCTTAGTGAGCAAACCATTAAAACTTACATGTTGAGAACGAAGCAAAATACTAATTACACAATTAAAGAACATCAAACATTACCAAAACTATGAATGAATATATATATATATATATATATATATATATATATATATATATATATAATGCTTTATGCGCGTCTGGTGTAAACGCACCATTACACACTGCATAAAATGTAATTTGCAAAAATCCAAAAACCAAAAGGGTCCTTTAAAAAACATCTCAGCTGGTTTTGCTGTTTAGTTTACAACAATAAAAACAAAATTATTAGGATATTTTAATATATCACACAAAACATCAGACATTTTTCAATATGTATTTTTGTCTGTAATAATGTTCAAATGTCGTGATGTGTTCTTCCCTCCCACCAACTAAATCATAATATTATATTAAGTAAAAGTAGTTGCAGTTGGCTTGCTGTCGATAACAGCAGTTTCATAAAGTTCAGACAACCAGCATGTGACAAATCAAATAAATTATGGATACATGGAATTAGTTGTAGCCCTTTAAAATACGTTAAGCAACAAGTGTAAAATAAAACTGTACAAACCCCTTTACACTAGTTTCAATCCACTGTTGTGCTCATGCATAAAGAAAATACATTTCATTATGCAGCATCAGAGTGGGCGGTAGATGGGTTTGTCAGTCTGATCCAGACACAGTATAAATGTAAGGACAGAAAGGAGAGCAGAACAAACTCCCAACAGGAGGAGACTCACTCATGGCCTATGAGACAGAGGATCAGGAGACTCAATACTGCTTTCCTGCCATCAACTCATCATGTGTCAAGGATAGACGCTCCAAACATGAACACAATATAATTTACTTGTTAGTATCATTGCTGTCAGCATGGACTGTGTTTCTGAACCTGCTGGTGATCATCTCCATCTCTCACTTCAAGAAGCTTCACACTCCAACCAACATGATTATTCTCTCTCTGGCTGTGGCTGATCTGCTTACTGGGCTTATTGTGATACCAATTGAGGGTATCAAACAAATTGAGACATGTTGGTACTTTGGAGACACCTT